CCTAAGTAAACAATTTGCTAATATCTTTGGTGAAAAGGAAGTTCAAACCAAGAAGTAATTGTACTTTACACTTCTTATCAGATATGGACCAGTGTGTGAAGTGTCCAGATCATCAGTATGCTAACACACAGAGAACCCAGTGCCTCCTGAGAGCTGCAAGTTTCCTGGATTTTGGAGACCCCTTGGGCATGGCTCTGGCCTGCATGGCTCTTTGTTTCTCTATTCTCACTGCTGTTGTTCTTGGAATGTTTGTGAAACACCATGACACTGCCATTGTCAAGGCCAATAACAGGACTCTCAGCTACATCCTACTCATCTCTCTTATCTTCTGTTTCTTCTGTTCCTTGCTGTTTCTTGGCCAACCCAACACAGTCACCTGCATCCTGCAGCAAACTGCCTTTGGAATTGTGTTCACTGTGGCTATTTCCACAGTGTTGGCCAAAACAGTGACTGTGGTTCTGGCCTTCAAGTCCACTTCCCCAGGGAGAAGGATGAGGTGGCTGCTGGTCTCAGGGGCTCCTAACTTCATCATTCCCATCTGCACCCTCATCCAGGTGACTCTGTGTGGACTCTGGCTTGGAACTTCTCCTCCCTTTGTGGATACAGATGCACACTCTGAACATGGCCACATCATCATCCTGTGCAACAAGGGTTCCCTCACTGCCTTCTATTGCGTCCTGGGATACCTTGGCTTTCTGGCCCTGTCCAGCTTCACCATGGCTTTTCTGGCCAGAAACCTGCCTGACACCTTCAATGAGGCCAAGTTCCTGACCTTCAGCATGCTGGTGTTCTGCAGTGTGTGGCTCACTTTCCTGCCTGTCTACCACAGTGCCAAGGGGAAGGTCATGGTGGCTGTGGAGGTCTTCTCCATCTTGGCCTCTGCTGCAGGGCTCCTAGGCTGTATTTTTGCCCCAAAGTGTTACATCATCTTGTTAATGCCAAATAGAAATTCTCTGCATGACTTTAGGGATAAAAGACATAGTAGAAGAAATAAGCCTTCTTAAGAGTGAGCTCATATGTTTGATTGGTATATAGATGGTCTGATCTAAATCTCTATCAACTTTCTATTGTCATATTCATTTGTATGATGAGGTTTTTACCTCCATGAATAAAGGCCAGTTGTTTCTTTTTCTAGTAGTAATATTCTCAATTAGCGGTGATCACCTAAAATGAATTATTTCTCATATACTTTTAGTTCTTCCTTTTTATTCTGCACTCAATCCTATTATGCCCTCTTGTTAGTGTCTTTTCACTGTTGTCTTTCTCACTCAGTTTTCTAGATTTTTAGGTATACTAAGTTCCTATCTGCATACTACCATGTTTCAAAATCCTCTAATTCATTTCCTTACACTTTTCTCTTTACAAAGTTTCATCTTTTTATATTATCCTTAGAGATTGTTTTGTTTAAGATTAATAATATTCCAATTACAGATTTTCCTTTCCCAATAATCCCATAATCTCCTTCACAGGAAGTTTCTCTGTGTCTCTTTCCTGGTCTGGCCTTTGGCCACTTTCCTCTTTTCCTCTCCTGCTCCTTCCTCTCTGTTCTTTCCTCCTAAGGTTTTTGGTTCGGATTACATAAGGTATAAAAATGCACTTAATTTAATATTACAATGTTAAATTATATTTTTATTTTTCTCTAAAAAGTAAAGTCTGTAATGCATAAAAATTTTTTCTTCCATGGCTGGAGATACCTTTCAATTTATTATTGCTGAATCACTCTTTATTAACATTTATTCTTGTAATTTCATCACTTCCTAATAAAATATAAATGTTGAAACATGAACATCTTTACCTGTCACACTTCAAATCTCTTAAATTGATAGGGAAAGCATTACTTATTGCATCAGCTAGGTTGACTTAGTAGGTTCTATACTATCTTTACATAATCACATATTTAAGACATTTAAACACAGTAACATCCATATCTTATCTCTTCCAGTGTTTATTACATGTTTCTTCTGATATTAATGAAATTCATGTGTATATGCTTCAATTCTAGTTTAGACTGTCCCTTAGCTTTTTCACTTAAGGCTGCTTTACCACTAGAGCCAGAGGCACATTTCTAGCTCTTTTGTCTTTAATTGGAAATAAGAGTCTCAAGCATTTTCTTGCCCAGGCTGACTTTGAAACATTTCTCACATTTGCATTTCTAGTAGATAATGACTGACGAGAGGTTTCTATTAGTTAAATTTTTCTTGAAAATATAACATTGTATTGGTAAAAAAAAATTGTGTATGTCTTCTTTTGAGGGCATGCTGTCTAACAATTGAAAATGTAATTAGATTTCCAACTTCCTTAGCATGTTAAAAATACATGATCAATATATGCATCAGTTTTTATTGAATATTTGTCTATTTCCTTAATTTATTTTAGGAATTCCATTAATAGGATTGAGTTTATATTATTGAGTAAACTTCTGCATCCTCATTTTGTGATGTGATGTTTTGGGGAGAATATTTGATATTAGTGCTTTTCTCATGGTATTTTGTGTTCCTTGCTAATTTCTTCTTAGTTGAAATTTCAGTAAACTTACACAACACTTTTTATCTTAAATGCATTAATGAAGAGAATGTACAAATGGATGGCTTGATGTTTTGAAGCAAGCATGGATGGATTTCAGGCACAGGGAAAGTTAATGGCACATAAAAGAGAAGTTTATGGATAAAGAATAGGATAGAGACAGGAAGAAGGGCACAAAGAAATTGTACTTTTATACGTTTTTTCTTGTTGTGTTACAATAAAACTTTAACCATTAAAAATAGGCAGATGTGGGCCATGAGTCATGGCTCTCTCATTGTGTGTGTGTGTGTGTGTGTGTGTGTGTGTGTGTGTAGGGGTGGACAAATAACATATGGAAAATGTTATCAACTTTTATGTTGCTTACAAAAGTTCAGGCATAGTGTATCAAAACTTTTGGGATTTTATATGCTTGGTGGTCATTAAGATAGTTTATATATTTTAGAAGAAATAAAAAGTTTTGGACAAAGATGTGGCTGACCAAAAGACTTTATGATCCCATTTAAAACTCTGATACAAAACCGAATTTAACCATATATTCTAGTAAAAATTTAAAGTAATACAAAAAATTAAAAGTCAATAAACTTAGGGCTTGAAAAATAACTTTTGCTTGGTCCAAAACTAATTTTTAATCCATTAAATTAAAGGGAACTGCTGGGCACTGTTTTTCTCCCGCCTTTATTCCATTTCCTGAGTAGACTGAGATCTGAAGATTCTAATTTCCATTTCGTTCACTCTGTTAACTATAGCTTTCATTGTGCTTTGCATAGAGGAAATTTAGCCACTTATGGCTCCTATGTCCTCAGAGTATTAATTTCAACTCTTAGCAAGGTGTATACTGCATCTGTTTTTGCTTGCACCCCCTGTTTGAAATCTTGCATCTCTTCATATTTCGTTTCTGTGTTCTTTAAATTTCTGATCTATTTCTCACTTTAATTTTTGAGTTATTGCTTCCAGCATCTGTTGGATGTAGCATTTGTCTTCCTTTCTTGTTTTGCTTCCACTGGGGCTCTCCCCTGGGTGGCTGCTGGTTTTTGGGGGTAGCATGCTATCCTGGGTATTGATAAATCCTATAATTTTTCTCTGTGATTTTCACGTGTAGATTCAGGGATTCTTGGAGACTAATCTGAAACTCTGACTGTTTTGTTTAATAGGTGGCTGTCTTTGCTTGGTTCTGGGTTGGTTCCTGGATCAATTTATGAAGCTTGCTCTTGGCCCTGGGTTGGCTCTGCAAGTGTTTTTTGAGCTGGCTGCTGGCCGAGGGGTGGAGCAGGGGGCTTCAGTCCTGTTCTGAGCTCTGAAGTTTCTGTCTGTTGGTACTCTCTGGGTGGGCACCAGCACCTTGGGACTCTTCTGCACTGGTGTTCTGTGGATTGATCCCTGTAGTTCTGGGGTTCCTCATTTGGCTGAGAGGCCCAGTAGTTTTGGCAGAATGGGGCTTCACCACTCTTGGGGAAAGGTTAAAGGTGGGGGAAGGGTCTTTGTGCAGGTTCCAAGCTCTGACATTTCTCTGTTTGCAATCAGAGAATCCAGCCTAGGCACCTTGGGTGTCTTTTTTGCTGGAGATCTGCAGACAAACCCTGTTGCTCTGGGGTCTCTGGCAGCCTCTGCCATGCCAGGTTGGCCACGGTTTGGTGCATTGCTGTGCAGCCAGCAAGGGTTGGCAGAAAGGTCTTTGTTCTATTTTCTTCTGAAATTCTTCCCTCCCTCCCTCCCTCCCCTTCTCCTTCCCTCCCTCTCCTCCTCCCCAAGACCAAATCACTGCAGCGTCCTCCAGCTCACCCTGCCCTCCCCTGCTTCTTTCCCTCCCTCTCTCCCTCCCTCCCTCTCTCCTTCCTTCCTTCCTTCTTTCCCCTCTCTCTTCTTTCTTTCTTTCTCCTCTTGTTTTTCTCTGGGTATACATATTTTTGCTGTTGTCAGTGTTTTGGGAGAATTAAGCATTGGAATTAGAAATCTCTGTTTGGTTGGAGAGAGCTGTGGTGTTTCCCTACTCTCCCGTCGCCATCTTGCCCCCCCCCTCCAAAAGGGTTAACCCTTTTAAAAACTCAGAATAATTTTACCTTGCTAGGTTGTGATTTCTGTCTTTTAATCGACCCGTTTCTGAGTCTGAATGTATAGCAAGGGAGAACAATGTCTTCTTGGGATAGTTGCCAGAACACACTTTTGACATAATTATGTCTAAAGAGAGTTACAATACATTCAGTACTATGTATGTTGTATCCCAGACCCTGAATGAGATCCTTTTTCATCAAACAGAAGTGTTGCCATGAGACAATAAGAGAGGGATGGTACCTTCCTCTACACAGGTAATGGTAATGGTGTTACTTTCATACCAAATGGTCAGAACATGCTGGTAAAACACAAGAAAAATGGCAAGTCCAGGTATCTCAACTCCTATTCATGATAATCAGGCAACGTAACAATTAATGAATAATCCAGAGGATAGTTCCCCAAAAGCACTACAAACACTACTGGTAAACATGGTGAATGAAAAGATTGAAAATGTGCAAAGTGTGAGCATGATATGGAGAAAGAGGAGGCAAACCAAAGTTTAATACAGAATCTCATGAGCTTGAGAATGCTACTCAAAGATTAATACAGGAATTTCTTGAGAAGGTTGAGAAAAGTCAAAGAAAAATAAAGGAATTATGTGAGCAGGCTGAGAACAAAGAGAAAGGAATTGAGTGAGCAGGCTGAGAACAGTCAAAGAGAACTATAGATATTGTGTGAATGTGAGGAATCTAATCAAAGAGTAATATAGGAATTGCTAGAGTGGGTTGAGAATAAACAAAGATCAATAGAGGCATTCATAGAATACAAAAACAGACAGCTGAAAGAATTCAAGGAGACCACAAAGGGAATGCTGAATGGAGCCTGACAGAAGGGATGGAAGTCCAAGGAAACCATAACAAATCAACTAAGTGATTTGAGAATAAACACTGAACACCAAATTAAGGAAGTAAAGAAATTCATACAAGATCTAAAACAAAGCTTCAAGAAAGAATTTAAAGGCATCAAAGCTGCTGACCAATTAGATGGAGATAAAATTAAAAAAAAAAAAAGAGGTAGAAAGCCTTGTCAGTAGGTTAGACCATGCAGAAGATAGAATCTCGGGGATTAAAGACAGCCTAGATATTACAGAGAAAGAACAGACACTATTCAAGACAAATCCAAGTCATATGATAGATCTATTTCACATTTGGAAGACACCATCAGAAGGTCTAACCTGAGGATAATGGGCATGGAGGAGCATCTCGAGACAGAAGTTAATGGTCTAGGAAATTTGCTTAACAGGTTCCTAGCAGAGAATTTCCCAAACATGTAAAAAGATAGGCCTATTCAGATACAAGAAGCTTTGAGAACCCCGAATAGACCAGACTAGAACAGGACATCCCACTGTCACATTGTAATCTGCACAGGATCAATTCAGACCAAGGAAAGGATCCTTAAAGCTGTCAAAGAGAAAAGATCAATCACCTATAAAGGGAAACAAGTTAGAATTACCTCAGATTCTCAACAGAGACAATTAAAGAAGAGCCTGGGGTGATGTATGCTATGCCCTAAAGACAAACAACTATCAACCAAGAGTACTGTACTGCTAAACTCTCCTTCATAACTGAAGATCAAAAAAGAACCTTCCACAGCAAAGTAACACTGAAACACTTTATCTCAATCAAACCAGCCCTACAAAAGATACTTAATTATGTCCTACACATAGAAAACCAACAAGAGATGAAGGACAAGATGGCGGAGGAGAAGCTGGAAGCTGAACAAGCTCTCACATAGAAAGCAGTTTTAGAGTTCCAGTGAACAGTCCTAAGCCAGAGAAACACACCAAGTGTGCCATCACAGGACAGAGAGTTAGACAAGTGAGGGAAAGCCAAGGCAAGAATACATATCTGAGCGCTAGCCAGCAGTCGCTGGCGGCGGCGGCGGTGGCAGGGTCGTGGTGGAGACCGCAGCTGGGCAATACCTGAGCGCTCACACAGAGAATCCGGGATGAAGGAGCCAGACACAGCGGGCGAGCGGATTCGACTCAACACCAGCAAGAACCGACAAGGAGCAGACAGCTTCATCCTGCAGTTTGCAGACCAGAGATGACCCAGGATCCAAGACTCGGCATGAGTAGAAGCCCGAC